GCGTTAACCGGCGCAGGCACACGCGTACCGCAGGCCGGAGCCGGGCTATACCGACAGGCGGGTGGACGCGTTGGAATTAGCAGGGAACTGTGGATTGTCGTTTATACCGATATTACATTGTTAGCACTCGGCGGCAGTACAGGCACTTCACCTGAGACCCTCTCTGCCCTTCCTCCTTCCCCCCCCTCCGCGCGGCACAGCCCCATCCCCGACTGATTTGCACCTGATTTTAGAGCTTCAGCCCCAAATCGGTCCGGAGTGGCAAAGACCTCTCACTCCCACGAGCTGAAGCGGGGGGCAAGAAACCCTGTAAGGAGCCAACTTACCCCCTCCACTCTGCCAGGAAGAACAGAAGTGTTGCCATCTGTGCCCAGTACCACGGTACTCTGGCTCAGGGTCATCCAGGCGCCTTTGGCGTTGTTTCGCTCCAGTGTGCTCTTACCAAGGTTTAGATTAGCGTCCCCGTCTGTGCTTTGCAAAGCGGGAATTTTGCAGTGAGGGACAGCAGCTTGCCCGGCGGCCCCTGCCCCAGGGGTGTGCTTGCACGGAAAAGCTTCCACAGATTCCCTCCGGAGGGTGGAGTTGGCTTGCACCGGGGTGCTGCTGAGCTTGCAGATCCCGACTTTGGTCCTCTCGAAATCATTTGGTTTAGCTTCTTCGGAGGGAAGTGGTTTGCTGTCGTTCGAGAGTGATCGGGGAAGCCTGGCCATCGCGGCAGGGGCTTGCGATTGGGCATTCTGCGGCTCATTTTCGGGGCTGATTCTTACAACTCCCGCACCTTCGTTGGGTCCAGGAGCAGCGGTTTCAGGACTGTTCACAACCGGCTTGCTCATATCCCCTTGACTGGCGTAATCCTAAAATGACAACGTCACATATTTTACCAAAAAGTTGGGACTGAAGAGATTCTACGAATTTCTTTCCTCGGGCACAAAACGCGTGCGCTAGAAAATCTGGATACAAAAGTGTTGCAGAATTTCGAGGTGCCCCGGCTCGCCTGCTTGCCCTCTCATTCAACGTTAATAGTCTGGGGGAGAAAACAGTAAGGTACACAAAAAACTCAAAACCAACAAACAAAAAACCGCACCAGCGTCCGCAAACCCGTAATTCGAGTTTAAAGAAGTGTTTCTACAGCACTGCGCCGCCAGACCTCGTTAGATTTCACATCACGACTGTAGAATGCTCCCTTTCCCTATCACCAGTGTAGAAAGATTCTTTAATTTTACGCCCCATTTCCTTTCTGTCATTCAACAATGCACATCGGCTTTTTTTTTTATATATATATAGGCAATAGACAAGCTGCCCTGTAGGCAGCCGGAGGTGTTAAAAAACAAGTGAAATAGTGCTGGTGAGCATTTCTGAGCTGGCTGCCACCCTTCAAAACCCGACAGCAAGACAGTGAAACGCAAAAATAACCACACCGCCGCCGCAGAATTAATGCCAATAACAGCTAGCTTTCCCTATTCTTTTTCTTATATTTTCGATTCGCACACCTCTAAATAATTTTTCAAGCATTCCTGTATTCATTAAACAGATTACTGACGACAGTCCCTCACCCCCCCGCCTTTCCCTCCAGTTTAAATGCATTAAAATGCATTAAAATGAACCTTCTTTTTATGCCTTAAACAACCCGCAGGCAAACCCTGCCTTTCCCATCAGTTTAATATGAGCTTTACAAAGACACCTTCTTTTTAGAAGAAGGCTTCACAAAACTACCCGTGGCTGTTTCCGTTGCAAGTTTTCTCTTCGCCTTAATCCCATCTCCCAGCGTCAGGGATAAGACCTGCAAGGACTCGGACGCTACCCAAGTGCACTTCGGGGTACCACCGTTTCCCCCGCGCCCCCTTCCCCGGCAGCAGCCCTCCCCCGGTCCGCGGGAGGCTTCCCGCGCTGGCTCCGCGGGCAG